AGTTCGCATGAATCCCAGCAAGCATGGTCAATGGCCAGGGATGATGGAAGTTGTAGTTCAGCAGCATCTGGAGAGCCAACAGTATCCTATGCATTACTTAGAGCAAGGAACGGGAGTCAGTGGCTCTCCAGATGTTGTTAGACTCCAGCCCTCATCAGCCTCAGGGATAATCAGGGATAATCAGTGTTCTTGTACAACAACATCTGATGGGCTACAGGTTCCTCAGTAAAGATGGCAGAACAGGTTGGAGATAAGGATTAAGTCCTTTCCTTGCCTTAGTGAAATTTTGTTGGCTTTCTCTCCAGTTCCTCTGAATTCTCACCTAGAGCAACAGATTTTTTCTCTTTATTGCGTATGATAAAGCAATGAAAAGTGCCAGGCAACAAGGTCATAGAAGGAGTCCATCTTAATAAAGAAATGAATGTGTTGGGGAAGGTAGCTGTCAGTCATGCTAAATCTAATGACCTGTCACTTGCGGAACACATTTTTATGCCTACATTACAGTAGGGAGATGAGGTCAGAAAATGAATTCCATTTGCTTTGACACATTAGTACACTGGATCATTGCTTTATAATTCAAATTATACACAGCAGACAAAGAGCTAGAACATGGCTTTGTACTTAATAAACAAAACATACAATGAATTGAGGAGACAGAGAGAGCGCTTTGCTCTTGGTGTCATTTATTGTTATACAATTTTTGCATAGCTCCAGATTCTCCTCCTTCAAACAAAGAACTATAAAAAGTGCCTGAATACTTTTTGAGTAAAATGTATGTTAATGAATAAGAACCTGTCATTGTACTTAGTCTGAACAAGGTTGTCCAGTAGAAGCTGGAGGAGGTTCAGATAGTATGAGTGCTGCACAAAATACTTTGTGGAAAAATGAACAATGGATAGCTGTGATAGCAATAGAGCTGCCTTGTGGCATCTAATGGATGGAAAGATGCGGTATCAATATTTAAAAAACCATCTCTTTGAGCTTTTCTGCTGTAGGCGTGCTGTGGCTTCTAAGAAAGAAAGGGGATGTATCTCATGTTAGTCATACTTGAAATAGGGGTGTGGGAGAAATTTGGCACATACCTGAAGGTGAGCCCGTCTGATTCATGCTTTCTGAAACAGCATGAGAACTTAAACACAGCTATCCTTTAAAATTTGTACTACTCCAGATTTTGCAGTGCAGATCTCCTGCCAAGTAACGTGTACAGAAAAGCATATATTGGAGGTAAATGTGCATAAAAATGCATATACTAGTGAAATAACACAGAGGGTGGTTCTACTGAGGGAAGTTGCTTTGCATACAGAAATATGTATATGAGAAGAAATTCACGCTAACCTTCATGAGGACTTTAAAAAAATAATAATAACATATTCATGTGAGAATGTAGAGAAATGAGTGGAAAACTGAGAAACCAAAGGAAACCAAAATTGAAAGAGTCACTCATCCCTCTACAGTAACCGTAGCCCTACCCTACTTTGCCAGCATCTTTCTGAATTGAGACTAGGGAGTTGGAATTGAGACTAGGGGAGCAGAACATGGCTGTCCATACTGTCATGCAATAGGACGGTGGGGGCAGCTACCTGGAAGGAAGCAATATTGTGACACTGAGTCCATCCTCCAGATGCATTGTGGGGGGAAGTGGTTCTGGAGTCAAGGAGGATTGTTGCCATCACTTCCACAGCACAACACCTTTTTTTAAAAAAAGCATCAAAATGGTTAAAATAATTAACAGAATCCTCTGCTAATGGCTGTTGAAAAGCAACCCCCCCCCATGCACCTGCAAAAGTATTCAGATTTTCTTTAGTTTGTCAGGTTTTTCACCTTCCCTCTTCACAACCCCTCCCCCAAAGTGACAAGTTCTCTTAAAAACAGTGCCACCCAACAGCAATCATGCAATGCTTTCCCCACTCACATGTCTATACTGGTGTTGAACACAAATATATTATTTTGTCAACTATGTATTGCAACTGTACAAAAAACAATGGGAGGATGTAAAGGGTGGGCCTGTACCGCTTCATTATAACACAGTTCTCTTGTCCACAAATGTAGGGTGATTTAGAATTGGTCTTCTCAACACCTTTATACTGCATAGAGAACTGCAAAAGGTAACAAATGAGGAACAACTATATAAAAGTGTGGCTTCTGGGAGAAGCTTTACTGAGTTTGAAAAAGCTAACAAATAAAGAGCTATTGTGTGTGATACATTTCAGGCATAACTATAATAAGTGAAAATGACCACCCAGGGTACCCATAGTTACTGAAAAGGCTGGTTTTCCTGATATAAGCATTTTCCTTATTTTTTTAACCCTGGGGCACTAGTAATAGACTGCTTTCACACCAAGGGGAAGAGTTATAGATGGTACTGTGTTCAGCCCTCTCAATTACTAAGACTCAATATATTTTTGCTATATAGTCCTAAGACATCTAAGTAGACTAAAACGTTGACTCATTGTAACAATCATCTATTTTTTCCATTAAACACTGCATTATATATAGCTATTTTCTCCCATCAAGCCCTGTGTAAGAAACTGCTTGCAGTTGATCAGCACCCCAAAGGATCAAGTCTTCCTACTCATTATCATTTTATTTGCATGCCACATTTTCATAGTTAAAATATTGTGTTAACTAGATCTTGGTTGACTGCTCTTCTTTTAAATCTTTATACTTCAGGTTTCAACCAGGGATGGCATGAGTGGTCTTCCAAGCCTTTCTCAGAATCAAACCCCAAGGATTCAGAGGATCTGAGTCCAACTAACTCCCATTTTTGCTTTCCTGAGCAGCAGTTGCCTAGGGAAAACAAGGGATAACTAAATGCAAGCTGTTAAATACAAGACCATTCTGGGCAGCCTTGGCAACTGTTTCCAAGGGAATTGGAATGTTGGGAATGTCAAAGTTGGGGCAGTTAAGATGGAAGAGAAGGAATAATGGGCTAGTGAGGAAGAAGAAAGAGTTGCTACAAATTTCTAGAACATGTCTACAGAGTGGATGGTATAATCAAGTCCTGGAAGTGGATAGAGGTGGAACAAAAGAGTGATGAGAGATGGAATGGCTGGTGCATGGGGAACTGGAATACTGCAACGTAGAGGAGCAATGTGAGAGCATCACCATACAGAAATATTTAGGCAACATATGAGACTCTGGGAGAAAGAGCTTCAGTGTTGGTTTATTTTCCAAGAAAGGGTACGGTCTTGTAAAGGTATCACCTGCTGGAGAAATGTTATTCCTTCCCCCATGAATGAAAAAACAAAGGTCTTTCTATAGGCTTGCATACTCTCTTCCCAAACTTGGAGCATGGTCTTCCACCCGTCACAAAAGAACAGGAAAAGTTACAGCAAAATAAGGCGAGGTAGCACCTTGGATAGCTCCATGTGGAACTCAGACTCAGATGCCAGTTGAGGAACAGATAACCCAAGACTGAAACCTATCTAGGGTTTCTGCTCAGTCTGAGTGGTTAACTGGAAGTTTCTTCCAGTTAAAAATCTCTCCTTCTTCAGCTGTTGCTTCTGGTGGCCTGGAGGAAACTGTGACTCTGCTAGAACTTCTGGGCAGGAGTCCTCAGTCTCAGAAGAGCGATGGCCTCTTGCTTCAGAACAGCTACCAATAAATGGGTGTCATCCAGGGTTGATGTTGCAAACAATCTCCTCTCATGGCCAGACACTTTCTCTTGAGTCCACAGCCTCATTCCCCAAACCTGAGGATTCTGGCACCCACCCAGTGTCATGAGGACTCATGATACATGCAACATTTTTGTGGTGGAGGGGAGGAAGAAAGAGGAGCAGAGGGAGAGAAAACAGTGCTATTCCCCTGCCAGAGGATCCGCCCCTTGGTTGTTTATCTTTGATGTTCATCCTTATGTGGGTGGGGTAGTAATTTTATGTTGGATGATTTTTGTGGCTAATACTTTTAGTACATTTGTTTCATTTTAATGGATTTTCACTGTATAGCTTGCATGTTGTTGTCTCTGTAAATCACAGAGACTCCTTCTGGGTGTATGCATAAATTGACTTGAAAATAGCCTTCCCTTTTGCTTCACATTGCTGCCCCCACAATGGCTATGCCTGCATTTAAGAAGCAAGAAAAATAAATAAATTAGTGACATTGCTGGTGATTTAGTCCACTGAGAGCTGGCTCTGTACCTCATCTCTATATTTAAAGGCAACAACTTCTCAGCAACATTAAAACCACATGCCCTTTATCTTGTAGTGGCAGCCCACCTTGTTATACCCCATGGATGGCAAGTTAGTTCAAATTTCACAATTGGTAATTGGCTCAAAAAGGTTGTACACATTTCAGTTATGGGAAAATTCACTCATCGTCTGCATGTGCTGCAGGGAATTGCAGAGCTGGAGGAGGAGGTGGTGGAAACAGGAAGGGGGCACAGCCCAAACTCTTGGCTTGGCTCAGAGGACTTCGCTTAAATCCTGGGGGGATTCTGAGCCAAACCAAAGGGAGTCTTAGTGGCCTTGCCCATCAGTGCTTTCAACAAACATGTTGGCTTTTACATTATGCCTTTGAATTAAAGCTATAATTATCTCATCATTTTAATTTTGAGTCATCTTCTAAGCAACCTGACTTGTGTTGTCGTAACCAGCCATTCATTGGGAAAACACCTTGTTTTAGCTGCAAAGCACACGAGTTTATTCAAATGATTTGTTTTGTCAGGAGCAAAAGGAATGAGTCTTGTCAGCTGTGCCCACCCGTCATGTAGATTTTTGTGCTTTGGATCAACAGCAATATTTCTTTTTGCCTTCAGTGTCATGGTATATGAAGCTTGGTTCCCTGCTTGAAATTACGCCGTACACAGACTCCTTTATCTACCTTGTGCCACTCCAGGGGACACTTAACCCACCCTGGATCAGTATTGGGGGGGGGAAAGGATTTTAAAGAGGTTTTTAAACCCTATTTTTAACATACAGTTAAAACAAGGTTTAGAAAGGGTTGAGAGGAGTAACACTAGCACAGTGTGAAATCGCTGATTACTTAAACTGGTTTTCATTCTTGGATGATCCCTGTCAGTTGGAGATTATTCAGTAAACAAGATGATATCATGGCACTACATATTCAACCCAATTTGGACATTTGATGACATCAGAAAAGGAACAAGAGAGGTGAGTGTTATATGAACAAACGTTTTTGGAAGCATTGACCAAAACAATAAACAAAACAAAACCCTCAATTACAAGGGTGTTTGTGTGTGTGTTTTGACACAGCCAAAAATGTTCCTGAAAGTTTCAACTCAACCCTATGCGCTAAGTAAGTTGAATGTTGGACTCCATGTTTCTGTAAAGTTTTAAATTTTCACAACCTGCTCACCTTACACTGTCAAAATCTGCTTTTTTAGCACTTTTCTCTTGGACATTACATGCAAACTACTAATGGGTGAAGAAAACTGAAACAGATGCCAGAAAATTAAAATCAATTGATTTTCTCCAGAAGATTAACAAGATCTTTTATCTTGGTGACAAACAGTTCTATCCTAAATAAGCATCAATTTGACCTCATGGCTTTGAAAGGTTGCTATTAATAACCAAGTAATATTCATTAAGAATCATGCAGTTTTCAGCAAGTTAGCTGGATAGGTTAAACAAAGGTCTTCCATTATTAAAATGAAACAGCTTGTAAGGCCTAAAGGAGGAATCATTATGAAACGGTAATCAGATAGCAAAATATGCTTGGTTCTAACGGATGCAAGGTAATATACAATGAGCCATTAGTTTTAAATTAACTGTTGGTGTCAAATGAATATATTTAATAATACAAATAGCAATGGACAAACTCCCTAGTCTCAATTCAGAAAGATGCTGGCAATTAAAAAACAATATTGAAGAATGCTTCAAAAAGCTTCTTCCATCTCCCCATCAAGCATTATAAATTTGTTCGTAATTGCTAATCCCACACTGAGTCCTCACACACCGTTCCTTACTTGCTGGTTGCAACTGCAGTGGTTGCAGCAAAAGGGAAGGATGTCTCTCTTACCTGCTCTTCCTCCAGTCTGGACCAAATGCTGTTATGGCAGCATCCCCTGGCACTAGGGACTTCAGAAAACAGCATTTCACTGGGGCATCTAATGTCCCAGAAAATTCATTGAAAATTGAAATTGAAAAGAACCCGCAAGGAAAATACATCCTGTCTGCATCGCCTTCTCCCCATTTCCAGCCATGTCTAATTAGGAGTTTAAACGATCATACTGCTGCCACTTTCAGGTGGCTTGGGGCCACCACCTCTCACAGTGAGGGATTGATTATCTTCTTGCCTCAACCTGCTGTCCCACTCTTACTCAGTTTCATGATCCAGTGTGCAGGTGGTTGCCCAAACCTATCCAAGTACTATGTCCCCATTCTCAGACCACACCAAGTGAAACACATCCAACAAAATACCACTAACCATTGCAGTTGACACCTCAAACCGTTGACTTGCTACAACAGTGCAATTCTGGTGGATGCAAGCAATTTTATCCCCAAATTGCTTCACAGACAAGTCACAATGCACCTCCAATAGTTTCCACCCCTCAGTTGGGCCAGAACGTTGCATGCTCTGGATCAATCAGGAAAGCTGCACAAGACAACCCGAGAAAATACAGTGGCCTTCACTGCTGCCAAATAGGCTCTAAAATGAGACTGCACTAGTGTCTGGTTGCAAAATATTGTAGTACTGTATATGTATGCTTGACCCATCTGTAAAGGTAATATGTATAGAGATGCAAGCCCTGAAGGCCAGAGAGGATTCTGGAAGCCTAAAGACATCTGTGTCTTTGGAGATGAGTCATTCTGAGAGAAGGTTTTTGAGAGGCCTGTATTATGTGAGCATAAGTTGAGAAATACAACACCTGTTGTTTGCCTCAACTGGATTACTGTCTTCTCAGAAAAATGCCTGTCTGGCTAAGCTGCTGTAGGCCACAAAGCTACTTAAGAATATGTTAATTTTGTGGAAGGAGCAATCTCCAGATTCTTGTAGCCCAGTTTATTATTTTGGGAGCTTCTGCAGATTTGGAAGAATGTCTGTTTCTTTTCTTTCTTTTCTTTTGTTTCATTTCCGGATTGCCACCATTTAGCTAGGCAAGTAGGTTGATCAGCAAGGAACAATTTGATACCTCTTCCCTGACTTATACCAGCCTGGCTGACCAAAAATCAGTTGTCCACTTGCAGTCAGTCCACCTGGCTGCATCAGGGGAAAGGAGAGAGAGTAAGGCCTTCTTCATCAGTCTATCATTTGGTTCCATGCCCTCCTAAGACTGTCTCCTCCAGTTAGTATGGATTCACAGCCACATTGAAAAAATAAAGAGGACACAAAAACCCAAAGAATAAAAACAACTGGAATATTTCAGTAGCTCTGTCACTAACAAGTTGCCTATACCAGTTATCCATCAGGAGATCAGTTGGAAGAAGCCTTGACAGATATAAAAAGACACAACCCAGATAACAGATTTGAACCAGATGGCTAAAGGAACAAGCCAAGTTTGATACTGTTTTTGTTTTGGAAGATGGCCTGAAGGCTTTTGATGTTGAAAGAAAGAGTAAAAATATATCAGACCTCACCAGAATGGTCAAAACACATGAAAATTGTCCCCAGGATTTTAAGTACATTGGTTCCTGAATTATGATGGTGATGATAATGATATTTCAATATATATTACTCCCAGAGGAGCCCAGGGCAGCAAACACATCATCATCGTTTTTTAAGCATTCTAGAGACAATTAAAATACAGTGGTACCTCTAGTTACAAACTTAATTTGTTCTGGAGGTCTGTTCTTAACCTGCGGCGTGCTTTTGTCAATGTGGCCTTCCGCTGCCGCTGCGCCACCAACACGCAATTTCCGTTCTCATCCTGGGGAAAGTTCGCAACCCAAGGTACTACTTCCAGGTTAGCGGAGTTTGTAACCCAAAACGTTTGTAACTCAAAGCATTTGTATTCCAAGGTACCACTGTATTCTATAAACAGTTCAAAATATTATCTCAATACCATATTAACAGGAACAGGAAAAACCCTTTTAACCTATCTGAGCTAGGCAGCTAGAAGGCAGGGCAGGGTCGGATACACAGGAGGGGAGACCTATTAGGAACTGCCCTCCTTCCAGGTCCTGCTGGGTATTTGCTCTCCTATAACATAACTGGAGATTACTCATTATATTTCAAGTTGTGAAGAAATTTAAAACCTGCCCCAAGGTGCGTGTGTGTCTGCCTGCTTAGCAAGAGATGTGTATCCCCAGAGTCTGGTTCAGCACAAAACCTTTAATCTTGGATTTGTTACAGGTTTCTGACTGACAGTGAGCTATTGGAATGGCCTAAAGAAGGAGAGCTCTGTGTGTTTCTTTTTGAGGAATTATAGATGGGCAAACATGGACTGCATTAACTTGAAATAGTGTGGGGTTTTTTATTCCACCTTGTGTATCATAAAACCTCAATTATTCAGAATGCCAGATGCAATATATTCATAACTACTCACCAGATTAACAAGCATTACTATACTGTACACCATGCTGACTCTTCCCCATGGAACAGCCTTCCCCAATGAGGCACACTGCAGCTGTTTTGGACTACAACTCCCAGCAACCCTAGTGGTCTGGAACTGATTAGGGTTATAGTCCAAAGCAACGGGGGGGGGAGCAGGGGGGGGCAGGACCAAGAGGGAGAAAGCTGCCACAGCAGAATAATCCATGCAGTTTCCCAGCCATGAGGGAGGGCCCCAAATTCTTTAGCCTTTTTATCACACACACTGCCATCAGAAACCTCATTCACTTATACTTTAGATTCTCTATATTATGCTAGACTCTATACTGTCCTGGACGTTTCCTGTGAGCCAGAAAGAAGATAAGGGCAGATGCAGAATGTGAAATATTTACTGCTTGCTCTCATCAGGAGAGTGGAGGTGTATATTACCTTTATATTTATATTGCAGCAAGCCAGATTCACATCAATATTCTACAGATAAAACCCCTAGATAAAATTTACTCGTGGTCCCAACCTTCAAAGCACTGTACCAATAAACTACAGCTGAGTCTGCAGCGGTGGACAGTGCCATGAAGCAGGCTGTCAGAAAGAAACATCTTTGCACAGCTGTCTCCCCCAAAGATGAAGGTAGATGAGGGCCCCGCAGAAATCAACTGCACATGACTGGAGCCATAGAATTAATTACAGGATGGGCAGGCAGCACCTATGAAACCACTGGAATGAACAGCAATGTGCATGCAGAAAAGATACCGGGTTGTTTTCAGCTAACTTTTTCTCAAAGTAAGCCCATTGAAATTAGTGGATTCAAGTTAAACCTGGTCACTAATTTATTTGGTCTACTCTGAGTAAATCTTAGTCACCCACAACACTCTGTTGCATTTTTCTCACGTTCTAAAATACCTTCCTCTGCCCCGGTAAGAATTCATTCCTCATTGGGAAGTTACCCGGCTCCTGAAATCTGGCATTTCAAAATCTTGTGATCGCCCCCTGTCCCCAAAAGAGAACATGTGGCTCCCTTTGAAGCATTAAACATCTGGCATATTTCATAGCTTTAATCCCAAGACCTGAATATGATTATTGGAGAGGATGTGAGTTTGTTTGTCCCTTTCCGATTTTATTCCAACTGCTTACATGAGCAATGACAAGCATGTTTCATTCACTTATTATATTTTCAAATGGATAGCCCACCAGCATGGCATCAAAAGCCTTCAGGAGGTTTGCAAGACATAAAATCAATAAGACATCACATCAATAAAGTTACTCAGTTTTAAAAAAAAACACACAAAAAAACAGAAAAGTGGAAAAGTGCAGTGTACCACGTTTCTCCATGAAACTTGGTAACAGATTTGGACATCAATTAGTGTTCAATTGCTTGCTGAAATGAAATATATTTATTGCCATAATGGGTTAGTAGTGTGTTGTGGGTTCTCCAGGAAGAGAGCAATGTACACAGAGGGGCACCCTGTTACCAAGATGTCCAGTCTTGACTCCAGTTATTTTTGTTTTTCCCTAAGAAAATTAGAATTCCAGGAGGGACCGTGGAAGGAGAGATAAAGCTCTTTGGTGAGACCGCCACTGCCCAGCTAGGTTAGTGGGTTGGGCCAATGAGGGGGCGAATTTCAGTCCTGGTGTGCAGGACTGAGACTGAGTCTCAGATTGGTATACAGTCAATCAAGCTATTTTCCAGGTTGGGAAGAAAATACCCCAAATGCAAACCGATCTGGGGAGAGTTTGTCCATTGTTAGCCAAAGCAAGCCAAAGCAACAGCAGATAATGAGTGAACCTGCCAGAATGACTCGCAAGGCAAACAACTCCAGATGACTCATTCAAGCAAGCCATGCCATATGCGGCGGCTGAAGGAACACTCTCTTCCCTCCCCTCACACAGACTGCAGCCTCCTTTTCACAAACAGAACACGAAGTGGCTTTTGGTTCTCTATGCTTGTTTTGAGGGGATATTTTTGTATGCAGAAGCATCTCCTCATGTGAGACGTCAACAGCAAAGCCCAGAAGCAGATTTAAGAACCTCCTCTGCTGTTTGTGAAAACTAATAGCTGAATTGCTTTGTCATCAGCACTGTGGATGCTCATTCCATGCACACTGCACTCTTTTTTTTTTATAATGATATTTATTAAGGTTTCACAAAAATACATGAAAATACTAAACAAAGAAAAAAGTATAAAGTTTTAAAATACAGCAAAAAAGTAGAGAATAAGAAAAAGAAAAAAAAAACATACAAAATAAAACAGTTAAAAACACAATAATGTTCCGTAACCTATCTTCCTTACTCTTATTTCCCCGGACCTCCTCATACCTCCTTTCTTTGTATTCCAATTCAATTTGTTGGTTCAGCAAATCCTTACCATTAATCTTTTACCCAATTATTAACCTTTTTTCCATGTCTCTTAAAGCGTTACAGCTAAAAACCTCTTAGTTTCTATCCAACATCCCTCTAAAGTTCCTTAATTTTGCAATATTTCTGTAAATAGTCCTTAAATTTTTTCCAGTCTTCTTTCACCGACTCTTCTCCCTGGTCTCGGATTCTGCCAGTCATTTCCGCCAATTCCATGTAGTCAATCACCTTCATCTGCCATTCTTCCAAAGTGGGTAGATCTTGTGTCTTCCAATACTTTGCGATAAGTATTCTTGCTGCTGTTGTAGCATACATGAAAAAGGTTCTATCCTTCTTTGGCACCAATTGGCCGACAATGCCCAAGAGAAAGGCCTCTGGTTTCTTCAGAAAGGTATATTTAAATACCTTTTTCAGTTCATTATATATCATTTCCCAGAAAGCTTTAATCTTTGGGCACGTCCACCAAAGGTGAAAGAATGTACCTTCAGTTTCTTTACATTTCCAACATTTATTATCGGGCAAATGGTAAATTTTTGCAAGCTTGACTGGGGTCATGTACCACCTGTATATCATTTTCATAATATTCTCTCTTAAGGCATTACATGCCGTAAACTTCATACCTGTGGTCCATAACTGTTCCCAGTCAGCGAACATAATATTATGTCCAACATCTTGTGCCCATTTAATCATAGCAGATTTCACCGTTTCATCCTGAGTATTCCATTTCAACAGCAAGTTATACATTTTTGACAAATTTTTAGTTTTGGGTTCTAACAATTCTGTTTCTAATTTTGACTTTTCCACTTGGAAGCCTATTTTCTTATCCAAATTATATGCCTCCATTATCTGATAGTAGTGAAGCCAATCTCTCACTTTATTTTTTAATTTTTCAAAACTCTGCAATCTCAATTTATCTCCTTCTTGCTCCAAAATTTCCCAATATGTCGGCCATTTGGCCTCCATATTAAGCCTTTTCAGAGCTTTTGCTTCCATTGGTGACAGCCACCTTGGGGTTTTATTTTCCAATAAGTCTTTGTATCTTATCCAAACATTAAACAATGCTTTCCTAACAATATGGTTTTTGAATGCTTTGTGTGCTTTGACCTTATCATACCATAAATATGCATGCCATCCAAATACATTGTTGAAACCTTCTAAATCCAAAATGTCTGTGTTTTCAAGAAGTAGCCATTCTTTCAGCCAGCAAAAAGCTGCTGATTCATAATAAAGTTTAAGGTCTGGCAGGGCAAATCCACCTCTTTCCTTAGCATCAGTTAATATCTTAAATTTTATTCTGGGCTTCTTGCCCTGCCAGACAAATCTAGAAATGTCTCTCTGCCACTTCTTGAAACAATCCATCTTATCTACAATTTGTAATGTCTGAAACAAAAACAACATTCTAGGCAATACATTCATCTTTATCACAGCAATACGGCCCAGCAACGAGAGTTTCAAATTTGACCAGATTTCTAAATCCTTTTTCACTTCCGTCCAACATTTTTCGTAATTATCTTTAAATAAGTTCCCATTTTTGGCTGTCATATTGATCCCCAAATATTTCACTTTCTTTACCACATTCAATCCTGTCTCATTCTGAAACCTCTCTCTTTCAATCGGTGTTAAATTTTTCTCTAAAACCTTAGTTTTTAACTTGTTCAATTTAAAACCTGCCACCTGACCAAATTCCTGAATTAATTCTAAAACTCTTTTAGTACTAGATTCTGGCTCCTGTAATGTCAATACTAAATCATCTGCAAATGCTCTCAGTTTGTACTGTTTAGCTCCGACCTGTATGCCCTTAACCAACCGGTCCTTTCTAATCATATTTAGCAAAACCTCCAGGACCGATATAAAAAGCAGTGGGGAAATTGGGCACCCCTGTCGTGTCCCTTTTTCTATCTTAAATTCTTCCGTGACCACATTATTTACAATTAATTTAGCCTTTTGTTCAGAGTATATTGCACCTATACCATTTTCAGAACCTTGGCCTACCCCCATCCCATGCAAATTCTTCTTCATAAAACTCCAAGAGATATTATCAAAAGCTTTCTCCGCATCAACAAATATCAATACTGCTTTGGTGTTTATGTTCACTTCTAATTTTTCCAAAATATCAATTATATTCCTCAAATTATCAGACAGGTGTCTTCCCGGGAGAAAGCCCGCTTGGTCTTTATGAATCTCTTTCATCAATACTTTTTCAATCTCTTGGCCAAAATGTCTGCAAAAATTTTGTAATCCACATTAAGTAACGATATAGGGCGATAGTTCTTAAGCTGAGTCTTTTCAGTCTCTGTTTTCGGTATAAGTGTGATATACGCCTCTTTCCACGATTCTGGTGCCCTTTTCCCCTCCCACACTGCACTCTTCTCCTGAAGCAAACCTTATAGGGGTGCTAACCAGGATAGTGCAATCTGAATGTTGGAATGTTCAGGACAAACAAAAGAATTCCTTTGCACAGGACATAGTTGAACTAGGGAGTTCATTCCCACAAGACACATTTCATGACCGCTAACTTGGATGAGGATTAGACAAATGCATGGGAGATAAGGCTATCAATAGTCACT